AGTTGTGAAGATCGTTCAAAATCTGCAGTTCTCTTGCAAAAGAAGATTCTTCTATTGTTGAGGACCGTGTGATTTCATGATGGTCCACACCGGTGCACGTTCAGCTGTATGAATGTAACCGAGAACCATCATAGAGCTTCGCTGAAAGTGAATGACGTAATTTATGTAGCTTTGTATACAGAAAGGTACATTAATGAACAATAGAATACAATTTTTAAAATCTCTTGCGATGTTACAGAGTTAGGTATACTGTATCATTCACGTTGCAAGCCCTTCATTTACGGTAAGCTTAAGTTGGGGCAATGAGATGCAATGTAAGTATCGTAATTTTCCATAATGTCAGCATTGAGTGTAAACGACAAGATACCACTCAAAAACAAGGCACACCGCGACTTCTAAGAATTCTTGGGAATGATTGTGCTCGGTATATATACTGTACCCCTACAGTAAGAAAGCTGTGAAATAAAACTCTATGTTGAAGACACGGTAACTTTTAACTTGTTTCTGTTTTAATCATAATTTAAGGAGGAGATAAGCGAGAGCAAACGTATGACTTGGACGACTCTTGACTCATTTTGGAAAAAAGGCTTAGTTTTGCAGAAGACAAGACATCCTCATATTACTGCGATATTTTTATTCTTCCTTCACTTTTTTGGAATGTAATGTTTGGGAAAATCAGGGATAACGTTCTCAGTTTAAGGGCTAGCAAGATATGAAATGCAATTTATGAATTCTCAAAAGCTTCTATTGAACTAGGGAATAGATTTCTAACTAGAAAATTCACATTTGCAGCAAACATCAAATCAACGACGTAGGATTATGACTTAAATGGAAAAGCTGACCCATAACTTCTAGGTTCACTTCGAACTTCGAGTTTGCGACCAGTGGGCTCCAATGGGTGATTACGACGATACAGAGACCTTGTTAGTGAAGGCTTACAAGGTGATAATCTCTTTCAAATTTTTAAAAAGTTATTCTTTCTTTCATGGGTCATTTTTCAATACAGATGTCAGAAATTCCCGAACGATTACATTGGGCTGGTTCGAGATTTATGAGTGGTGTTGTACTGCTTACAAAACCAGGAACAAGTATAATTACGGTAAGGTCAAGTTTTATAAAAAAAATCAAATTCTGAGCAATGTTTGAGGTGTATTGGTAAGCTATGCGAATTGACCATTTCTATGTTATAGCGCGAACTTCCGTCGATTCCTC